AGGGTTCAGGAGTTAGGGTTGAGGGCAACATGATTAAGGCGTTTGACTTTGCTGGAAACTGGATAATCTAGCAACTTGCTCCTGACGAACAACTTGTGTAGGGTGTCGGCTCAGCACACCGCTATCTTGAACATTCACCCTCCCCCAAATGAGATGCAAACCCATCTGATGCCCCTTTCAGAAAAAAGACCTATGATTTCAAGAAACCCCATGTAGAAACAGCGGTCCCAGGTTCATACCCCAAAAGACTTCATCCTTTGCGCTAAGAACTTCCATGAGAGACTCATAGTCGGCCTCCCTCAACCTTGAGCCCTAGACCCTTAACCCCAAACCCAACCCCAAATCTAGACCCTAAACCCCACACCCTAAGCCCTAAACCTCAACAGCTGGGTCGCAGGCCGGCACCCACTCCTTCCGGAAGCCTCCCAGCCACTGGCGCCGCTGGTAATCGAACTTCTTGAACTCGATGATTTTGGGGGTGCTTTTGGAATAGGAGTTGGGTTAGGGTCTACGGTTTATTAAGGGTTTGGAATTGCAGGTTTAAGGTCCAGAGTTGTGCTTTCCGATTGCCGCTTGTTGAAGTCTTTTCACTTTTGTGTACAATGCGACGTTCGGGTCGGGTCCCTTTGTGGGGTCTCTTTGTGCGGGTGCCTTTGTCGGAGTCCATTCTCAGGCGGGTAATGCTTTTTTTGGTAGTTGAACCAGGTTGAGATTGTGTTCTGCATATATATTACTATACCCAAAAGGAGGATCTAATCTTACTCTATATTGGGTACCATAGGATCCCCAAATAAAATACTACTCAGTTGCGGCTTCATGTGCTGATGCTTGTTTGACAAGCACTCAGCTCTCACATGGTTCGAGGAAGCCTCTTTCAGGATAGAAGGCGTCCGTTTAACGCTTCACGGCTTCTCCGGGTAGCTGTTGGTGGTGGCTTCCTTCGACAGGGTTCGTACTCTGCTCCTGCTTGAATAGGGCAACTCAATTTTGCTTATGTTGCCCCTTTTTTCGGCATCGAAGGCTTCAAGACTCCTAGAACCCACAACTGCTATCACAGAAACAGCCAAGTCTGAAACTCTTGATCCTAAATGAGGACTTCGCGGCAACTTGTGTGGTTCCCTTTTGCAGAGTCCTTCAAGTGAGGAATATACTATTTTAGGGTCTATTATGTGGGTCCCCTGATTTATAGAAACCCCCATACCCCAACATCCGCAGACTACTGCGGGAACCTAAATAGTGAGCAATATCCTTTTGAGGTCCATCTGACGTCACCGATAGTTTCTTTATGAGAGGCCATGATGTTTGAAATCATGCCTTCCAAGCCCCTCTTTGAAGGTTTCCCAGAATTAGGGGAACTTTTTGGGGGTCCTAATAATAAGGACTTAATATTTTAGGGTCTATATTGGGGTCCCGTTTTTTGGGGAAACTACCATATAGACCCATTGCGGCCCGCTTTCCCTTCGTGGCAAGGAACATCTGATTCCCTGCTTCACCAGAAAAATGCGAAATATTTAGGCTTCTACATTATAGCAAGAGGGCGGCTTGCGCCTCCGCAAAGCCTTTGGTGTTGGCACCCAGGCCGTATCTGCGGGGCAGTGTGAAAGCGCTGGGTAGGAAACTCCCCAGTTAGAACCTGGTGATATGTCTATTTTCGGGTGAGCTGCAGGCACAGAGAAACAGGCATTTCAATTTGCTTTCGGTGTTTAAGTTTTGAAACTAATCGGCACTTGACGAGATTATATTAATTGGCCATCGTGAAGGCTGGCTCAAAACGAGCGCTTCGACATGTACTCCTTTCGTCCTGCTTGCGGGGCTTCCAGTACTCAGAAATCGCAACTTGTCTATGACTTTCGAAAGCATTCAATGAAAATGCTACCCAAAAGCGTGTTTGGAGGTATCAAAAGCCTCGCATTATCTCACATATTCCAGACTACAGTAGGGGTGCATCTCACTTCTGAATTGCCTTTCAAATCAGAAATCCAACAATGTCATTCTTGTACCGGGGCTTGAGATGCTTCTGGTTCGCCCGAAACTACGGGCACGGCGAACGGAGGCAATCCTACATCAGGAAATGTTGAGGAATACCAGCATTTGAGAGGGTCCTAAGTGATGCAAGATTTCTTCCATCCACAGTGCGTCTGAACAATGTTGAAAGCGACAGGCCAGATTCTCGTTACTGCGAAATACGTTCATGACTATTACTACCATTATGTACATTATAGCTTTCAATAATTTTTTCGCATGTACGGCTACTATTACTGAATTATCACCCCGTTGCTGGCCACGATTCTGACGTTCCTACTTCTACTGAAAAGGCGACTTCCATGCGGACGTTTGCCATGCATGGCCGCTAGCGATGCTTCACTTATGTGATTGAAGGGCTTCAGGAGTCGTAGAGT